CTGTCTGTCCCCCTCACCTGCCTGCCTCCCCTCTCTGTCCCCTTCACCTGTCTGCCTCACCTGCCTGTCTCCTTCCCCTGTCTGCCTCACCTGTCGGTCCCCCTCACCTGACTGCCTCGTCTGCCTGTCTCCCCTCTCTGTCCCCCTCACCTGCCTGTCTAGCTTGTCTGTCTCCTTCCCCTGTCTGCCTCACCTGTCTGTCCCTCTCACCTGACTGCCTCATCTGCCTGTCTCACCTCTCTGTCCCCCTCGCCTGCCTGCCTCCCCCGTCTGTCCCCCTGTCTGCCTGCTTCCCCTGTCTGTCCCCCTCAGACAGACATCACTAAATCTCATCTTAACCTCACCCGTTCTCTCTCCTTATCCCTCTCATCCCTCACACATCTTTATCAGGTACAATATCAGCCAGCTGGAGGAGTGGCTGAGGAGTCGCTCACTGCAGACAGGGGGCACTATGGACTCGCTGGAGCCTCTGATCCAGGCTGCCCAGCTGCTGCAGGTCAGCAAGAAGTCAGAGGAAGACGCCCGGGCCATTGTGGAGACCTGCACTGCCCTTTCCAGCCAGCAGGTGGGGATATTGTATATGTCATTGTACCCTTATACAGTAGAGCAGCAACACAACTGCTGTGTGAAGGGGCTGCAGTGGATTTCTAAATTAAATTTGATCCAATTAGCAGCTTCACACCTGTGGAGGTAAGGATGCTGCTGTCTCATTCACACCACCATGTTGATGCTGGGGAACAGGTAAGACAGCAGCACATTCTTGAGACTTTGAGTTTACTGTTGCTCAAGAAAAATTGAGCAAATACTGCCTACATCTGTCTTTGTCCCTGTTCCTACGTCTGTTTATTTATTCTGGGTTGATTTATTTTCTCTGTCTACCAAAGTGTCAAGCTGGTAAGAGCTTAAATTATTCAGTCAGTCCAGTGTTATTTAGGATTGTTCGAGAACGTTTCGTTTTAGGATGTATCAGATAAAAGCCCTTCAGCTGCACAGAGAGGAATGAGATATGAATTCTTGATGTCATGATGTCATGATAGTCATGTATGTCCCAGTCACTTGTGTTGTGTAGCTGCTTGCGTTGTGTTCCAGGTGATTGTTGTGTTGTGTTGTGTAGCTGTGTGGTGACTCAGGGTCTCTGACTGATGGATTTACACCTATCACATAGGACAGAGCCTTTTCAAAGCTTCTCAGAAGGTTGAATCTGACTCTTTCCCAAGTGCCCTGCCTCTTGCGTATGAACTCAGCGGTGGCAGTTCAGAAATCTGTGTGCTGGTTGGGTGTCGCAGTAGAATTGTACAGACGATTGCGCAGAGGAACTTCACGTTTCTGTTGGTGGGGGTGGCAGTTGATCTGATCCAGCAGAGACGGGCGGAAAGTACAGGGAAGGGCAATTAAAACTCGGAACAGGAGGCGCTTCTGTTCCAATTGAGCCCAATCCGTCATTCACCACCCCAACCAGCCCGGCCAGAAACTGCGCTGGCAAGCGGTACAGAACCATTAAAGCCCAGACCACTGGACTCAAGAGCGGCTTCTATCCTGACTGCAGTGCACATCCTCAGCAGCTCTCTGCAGTGCCTCAGTGCACCTCTCACCTGCACTCTGACTTGGGCTACCATGTGTTTTCACTTTCACATATCAATTGTTCTCAACAATGTATTCAGTGTTCTGGATGTAATGGTTTTGGTAGTAGTGTACTGCCAGTGTTGTGTGGTGTCGTCTGCTGTTCTGTGATTGTCTTGAGAAAGCAGCATGAATAAGAATTCTAATGTACATGTGCAAATGGCAATGAGCACCTCTGCTCTACTCTCCTGTACACTAAGGGTTGTGGGAGTCTGGAACAAGCTGTCTGATCAGCTACCTGACACTTTGTTGAGCTGGCCTCCTCGTTTGTAAACTCTCCTATGATCTTATGGCCGGAGGCTTTCTTTTGTCTCGTTTTTCCTGTCCACCCGAACACTAACATCCATGTCGGTGGACAGTAAGAGGACGTGTGCTTATCTCTCTCTTGTTCTCTCTCTCTCTCTCTCTGTCGTCCCTGGGCACCAGATCGTGAAGATCTTGAGCCTCTACACGCCTCACAGCGAGTTCGAGGAGAGAGTGACGCTCAACTTCATCCGCACCGTGCAGGTACACTGTGCAGCCCTGCAAATGATACAGCCTGCAGAGCTCAAGACCAGCTCTACGAGGGGAGGCATAGTTTAATAATAATTCCTTACCCTTATATAGCTAGGGACACTCCACTCAGAGCTCTTCACAGGTAGTGAGGATCCCCTCCACACCCACCTGGATGATGCGCCAGTCCGCTCCCCACACACCAGCTCTCAGTGGGGAGGAGAGCAGAGTGATGAAGCCAGTTCAGAGATGGGGATTATTAGGAGGCCATGATGGGTAAAAGTTAGGGGGAAATTTGTTCAGGACACCGGGGTAACACCCCTACTCTTTTCGAGAAACGCCCTGGGATTCTTAACGACCACAGAGAGTCAGGACCTCAGTTTTACGTCTCATTTGATAGACGGCGCCTTTTTACAGTATGTCACTTTATTAGCCCTATACAATTTCTTGTATGAGGAATGTGTCTTTTCGCAGACCCCAGCTTGCTCTCCATGAGACACACAGACAGGGAGAGAAGCTGGGGGTCAGAGCGCAGGGTCAGGCATTTATACGGTGCCCCTGGAGCAGTTGGGGGTTAAGGGCCTTGCTCAGGGGCCCAACGGAGTAGGATTCCTCTGCCGGCTGCAGGATTTGAACCAGGAACCTTCCAGCCACAGGCACAGATCCTGAACCACAGAGCCACCACACCGCCCCCTACTGGGGTGTCACTATACTGGGGCATTAGGACCCACACAGACTGCAGGGTGAGCGCCCCCTACTGGCCCCACTCACACCTCTTCCAGCAGCAGCCTCAGCTTTCCCAGGAGTCTCCCCTCCAGGTACTGACCAGGCTCACACCAGGCTCCAGTGGGCGGCCAGCTGGGAGCTGCAGGGAGGTGATGTGAGTTGTAAGACTGCAGCCTGGCTCCGCCCTGCCCTGACTCCCTGCCCTCCGTCCGTTCCAGGCCCTGCTGACCGAGCGAGCCGGGGGGGGGCCCCGACAGCTGCTGCTGGACGTGCGGCGCGTGTTCCCGGTCACCTTCCCCTACCTGCCGCCCCCGCCGCTGCGGGCCGAGCAGCTGGACATCCCGGCCTGCCTGGGCCTGGCCTTCCTGCGCAGGGTGTAGCAGCGCGGCCGCTGGGAGCTGGACTGGCGGCCCCTGCTGGACAGGAGGGGTTACTGCCAAGAGCTGCTGTGTGAGGAAACATGGGGAAACAGTGCCTGGGGGTTTCTAGGGGTAATTACCCCAAAGAGGGGCTCTCTCTCAAACACCTCAGCGTCATTTGACCCTTAGAAATCTGCAGAGTGACCTAGAAATGGCCAATAGGTCTGTGCTGTGAGGATAGCAATCTATTTCATTTTAATAATAATAATTGCTTACACTTATATAGCGCTTTTCTGGACACTCCACTCAAAGCGCTTTACAAGTAATGGGGATCCCCTCCACCACCAATGTGCAGCCCCACCTGGATGATGCTCCAGTCCGCTCCCCACACACCAGCTCTCAGCGGGGAGGAGAGCAGAGTGATAAAGCCATTTCAGAGATGGGGATTATCAGGAGGCCATGATTGGTAAGGGCCAATGGGAAATTTGGACAGGAGACTGGGGTAACACCCCCTACTCTTTTCGAGAGACACTCTGGGATTAAAAAAAAAATAAATTTTTTTTTTAGCTGTAGTGAAGTCATTCCTCTTTGACTGCAGTGCACTCACTCACGAAAGAGCCCTTGCTGACTAATCCCACCCTGCCCCCTGGTGGGCTAGCGACACGACTCGGATGACTCAGACTCGAACCCGCGACGGGGGAGCTCGTCTTGTGCCGGTAGAGGCCTTGCACTGCAGAATCGTCTGCTCAACAGCCCTGCAGAAAAGCACAGCCTGTGTCTTCTCAGCAGACAGCAGGTGCTCTCCTTTCACTGACAGCGAGGGGGGCCGGTGTGGTGACCGCGTGTCTCACACCCCATTAGCGATGCTTCCCTGGGGCCATCGATCTCTCACTGTGCCGACCAGTCCCCCCCCGCGCAGCCAGGCGTGAGGCGATCGGCTCCAATTACTCCCTGTGCCTGTGCTGGCGCGCGATGCAGTCGTGAGTATAAAAACCTGCATGAGCCCAGCCATTTCTCTCGGCCTGCACCTTTCAATGGTTCTCTTCAGCCGCAGGGATCACGGTTTCTCTGATGCACTTGTCTGCTCATCAGAAGAATCTAACAATTAGGGATCTGGGGTGTTCCTGTTCTCCAGCTTGGCAGCACAGCCCTGCTTTATACTACCAGCGTTCTGCTGAGTCTCCGTTTACTGGTCTAGCCCTCCGTTCTGCTGGGTTATCGCACCACTAAGCTTTGGCAAGATAAAACCGAATGCCTCAGCACAGTCACCATATAAAAGTGTCTAACCAATCGCTTTTAAGTCGCTCCCAAAATGAAGCCCAGAAACTCATCAGCTGTTAACAGGGACTCATGTTGGGCAGAGCCTGGAGCTCCAGGTTCAGGGGAACATTCTGTCCCGTGTCAAAGTCCTGCGCGGTAGCCCTGCCCTGCCCCGTACCTGAAGTGTGCTGCGTCGCAGTAGGGGGGTGGCCTGGCCAGGACCCCGCAGAGTCAGCGTCGGCGTGTCCAGTCGATCTCGGCAGAGCCAGAGGAGCGCGCGGGTTTGAGAAGAGAGAGACGCACGCAGTCTTTCCCTTTTTCTTTTTTCCACTATTTTTATTAGGATTGGAAGCAGATGCACAGCAAGGCTGCACTCCCCCCAGCCCCAGCCCCCCCCCGATGATGCCAATCATCCTCCTCATGATAAGAAGAAGAACAAGAATAATAAGAAGAAGAATAATAACAATAATAAAAAAATTAGAAACATCTTCAGTATAAAAAAATTCTCTCATGCGAGTACCATTTGTACCACTACACATCCGTAATACATATATTTATATATTCACAAGGCTGAAAAAAATAAAAAATTAAAGGTCATTCTTTTAAAAAAAAGACGACAGTTGGCTATCGACACCGAAGAGGCGTGCTGGCACAAGACGGGGTTTCCCATCATGCACTTCTTCTATATACAAGGGCGGCGGCGCTGCGCAGGTGTAGGCGTGTGCGTGTGCGTGTGGGGACGCGTGCACCGAGCTCCTCCTGGCAGCGCGCCGGGGACTCTCGAGGGCCTAGGGGGCGCTAGCGCTGTACTCGTGTGCGCGGCTGTGTCAGCGAGACGCTGGGTGGAGGGGTTTGTGCTTGTGTTTGGGGGGGGGGGTTGTCTTTCCTTCATGTGGCGTTCAGCTGCAGTTAGTGAGGTTCAGCACAGCCTGTCTCCAGCGTTCAGGGCTCTTACCTCTGGTGCCTGTTCTCTAGTGGCTCAGCAGGCTGGGGGGCAGCTGCAGCAGTCTGTGCAGACGGTACAATTCGTCAGATCTCATGTCCGGTGAGGACAGACATCAACAGGGTGTTTACTAAATGCATAGAGTTCATTTGAGAGAGACGGGCTGACCTTTCACCTTTGACCTTTGATGTTAGCGGAGGAGTGCCTGTATAGTTGAAGAGTAAGGTTGCTGAATGACATATACTGCCGTCTTTGAAAGCCAAGGCCAATAACATTTGAAATAAGAAACGTTGAAAGTCCCTTGTTGGGTTTCTGCGAGCGCATGGTGTTACTGGAGTGGATTAACGTAGCTGAGCTGTGTGAACGTGCCCACCCTGCTCGCACAACCCACAGGGTCGTGTGGCCTGCGTTTCTGCACCTTGGCACAATTAATCCTAGTGATTTCGTTGGTGGCTCTAAGGGAACTGCATGCTGCTTTTTTGTTGGGGGAGGGTCTCTTAACATCAAAGGAGCTATAAGATGTTTCACAGGCCTGGAGCGAGGCAGTAAGGGTCCACATCTAAGGAAATAATCACCCCAGGTAAACCAGTGAAGGCTGGAAAACTCCCACATTAGAGCCATCTCCTGTTTCAGCCTGGGAGTTGGGGGGCGCTGGCGTTAAACTGGTGCATCTGCATAAGCGATGAAGAGCGGATTCCGACTGGGATGGTGATTATGAACCTGAGAAATCTCTGCAGACTGGAGATGCACTCCCACAGACTGACTGCAGTATGGCCCGGAGAAATTCTCCTCTCCACTCTCGAAGGAGAAAGATGGCGAGACACCAGTCGTAGTGTGTGTATCGTTTCTATCCCCCCTGGGTGTAAGACTGCTCCTGCATGCAGCTGCCCCATCAGTACTCTGAGGGAAAGGACAGTTTTGGAGATTAAACCACCTACAACCTGGTTTCTGTTTTCACACAACGCAAACACCACAGTCCATAACTCGACTTTAAAGCACTTGTGTTCCAGCAGTTGGACTGACAGAGCCGTGCTCGGAGCAGCGGGTGGTCACACAGGCTGGCGGCGTCACAGGCTTGAGGAGGTGGCGTGATTCGGCTCTACCGACTGCTGGACCAGGCCGCCACTGCTCTGCCTCAGTCTCTACGCTACAGGGCCAGAGCACGTGGCGCTGGCTCCCAGAGAAGCTGCAGTTCCCTCTGGTGTCCACCAGGGAGGTGGTCTTCAGCTCCCAGCTCAGAGTCCTCCAGTCCTCACTCCATCCTGTGCTTTCAATTTCCTGATGGCTGCCGGGTCTGGCACTCTCGATAGCCCGGCTGTGGCTGGCGGGGGAGGGTTGGTGGAACAGAACCAGGAAGGCACTACGTCTGACGTAGCCCATTGGAGCCTGGTAGGGGGCGCTAGTTGTGCTTTTTTTCCCCACCCCCCAAAAGAGTGAGGCTGCAGTACAGAAATTAGTGGCCCCGATGGTGGGGCGCCCTCGCTGTTCGAGCAAGTTGTTGGGGTGCAGTCCCCCAGAACACAGCCGCTCACTGCAGCTGGATAGTCTCCACACCCTGCAGCCCCTCCTTTGTGTTGGAGGGTGGAGCTCTCTTAATGCACACGCGTGGCATGTGTTCAGCTCAAGGGGACTCTTTCTGATTAGAAATGACATCGACGAATAATAAAGACACAGGTTTCCATCTCAACCAGCCTTGCTAGCTCTGGGCAGGGGGGGTGCGTCTGTAGACATACGTGTACGAAGAACACACATGCACAGAAGGACTCGAAGAGCCTAGGGCTGCCCGTGCACAAGGGGAGGGTGCGAAAAAGAATCACAGTGCTTGGAGGCGCCATTTCTTCATGCAGAACTTGCACAAGTTTTAAAGGAAACCTTTAAACCAAGGGTGGTGTGCCCCTGAACAGGCAGGCAATCGGACGGACAGACACTAGATCGAAGGGACCTACAGACCAAACACATCCACAGTCAAGTTGAAAAAAAAAGTCAAGAAGATCAAACAATAAAGAAACCAACTGGTAATTAGAATTGCCTTTTACCTATGCTTAGTTTTTTTTAGAGTACCTTTTGAATAAAATGCCATTTCCGTGGGATGGTCGTTTCCTTCATGGCTATTGAGTTAGAGAACGTGCACAGCATGAGCCAGCCGCTCCTCGGACAGGAACAGGAAGTGTGAAAGGGCCTGGCAGCACAGGAGGCTGATGGGTAATGTAGTTTCGGAACCCCCCTCGTGTTGCTGTAAGTCTTTCATTGTTTTGGTTTTTTTCCACCTCCATTACTGCATAGCAGAGCCGGAATTTGCATAACTGGGGGGGAGGGGGGTGGAGCGCTGTGCTCCCAGGAAAGCTCACCTGGTGCAGGCGGCAGGACACAAGGCAGCGAGGGGAGAGGAGGGAGAGGAGGGAGAGGAGCCTCTGTGTGGGCACTGCATGCAGCGTTCCTGCCTCTGGCGAGCGTACTCTGCTGACGTGATTTTTTTTGCTTTTCTTGAACCTTTTTCTAAAAAGTTGCGTCTTACGTCGTTGTGGCTGGAAATAGGAGCAGTTAGAAAACGTGTGTCCTCCCTCTGGGCCGTGCGGCCGTGCGGGGGCACTCTAGCTCCCCTCCTCCGCGGAGCGCGTGTCGGACTTGAGCTTGACGAACTCCTTGGCCACCTCGTCGTTGTTGCGCTGCGACAGGATGCGCAGCACGGTCAGGCCCGTCTCGTCCATGTGCACGCGGCGCGCCAGGGGCAGCCAGCAGGCCACGCTGCCTCGCGCCGCCATGTCCTTCAGCTGCAGCACCGCCATGCCCACGGTGCGGTCCTCCCTGGCGAAGCAGTAGTCCTTCACGCACACCTGCAGCTCGTAGCACTCCGGGCCCGACTCGCTGCTCAGGGTGCTGGGGGAGAGCGAGGACACCCTCAGACCTCCTGAGAGCACACAGCGCAACAGCACATCTCCACACTG